TGCTGTATTTTTAATGTTGTGGGCCTATATTTCTGCTGGAGGTCCTGGACATCTTGTTCAGATACATGGCATCATTGATTCTATCAAATACCAACAGATAAAAAATCAAAAATTGACTGACTGGGCCATGTTTGGAACTTCCAACCGAACAATAATCCAAAAACAAACCTTAAAAACAACACAAAAATGGGTCACTGGGCACAAAACCAAGCTTCTGCTATGGCCATTCCAGTTCCCTGACCTGAACTCTATAGAAAATGTTCTCTAACCTCATCAGGCATTATAGGAGAAAACTCAGAGCTGTTATTATGCCAAATGGAGGTTTCAAAAAGCATTGAATAAAAGGGTGCCGTTAATTGTGTCTAATGTGTATTAGAGAAAAATATTTATGTCATAATGATATTTCCCCCCATTTTAAATTCTTATTCTCCAATGAAAGGTTAGATTTATGTGATTTTTTTTTTTTAATAAAAGATCAAAATGATTAACAATGCAGATTTATTTTCACAGCCTTCTATGATCATATTTACCAAGGGTGCCAATAATTCTGACCAGGACTTTAGGTGTTCGCTTTAAACACTTTTCCCCTTTCAATTCAGTCAAGAGTCTGGAATGATTGTAGCGGACAAGGATGGGCAGTTGTGTGGTCTACAGATGGAAACGTACCGGTCTACCATCATTTGCACATCTGTGTTCTTAATTATCTTTCAAATGGACTAAGGATAAGTGGCAGGGTCCATAATTAAAAGTGGTCAAATTGAGCAAACAGTTGGGCAGTAGCTTTATTAGGATCTGAAACATCACATGGTTAAGTCGGATTGTAAAAAAAAGCAAGCCAATCCTCGGGATAGTTCCCTTTAACATGACAATTCAGTCATTATTTACTCACCCTCATGTTATTCCAAACTGTTCAACTAACTTTCTTCTGTGGAACATAAAAGATGATACTTTAAGAAGTGTATCAGTTGTATTTGGGATTTTTCCACCTTTTTTTATTTTTATTTTTATACTTCTATGGAACTACTTCTATGGTTCCACAGTTCAACCAAAAATAAAAAAAAATCTTTATTTTAATCCGTACAATAATGTTAATAGTGTATAATGTTTTTGGACCCCATTGACTTTCACAGCATGATCATTCTTCACCTTTAGAATGTCATCTTTTTGTATTTTACTGGTTGGAACAACATGAATGTGAGTAAATCATGGCAGATTTTACATTTTTATGGGAACAGTCCCTCCATATGGTAACACAATTCTTGGCATTAAGCCATCAAAATAGAAATATGAGGATGTTTTTGTGACATATATTGTACAGTTTCACTTGAAAGTTGGAGACAGACACATTTCATATATGATGCTGAGAGAGAAAAAAAGGCCTGGTTGTCATGCATTTTATTGGAATTAAAATACATTTGTATAAAAAACTAAACAAAGTACAGTTTAATGTTCAGTAAGAACTATATGTGGCTGGGGATTTTTCTCGGTTCACTCACTGTTGGCAGAAAGTTAGCAGATCTTCGACAGATATGTTTCATTATTTTATTTCTGTAAAAGTGTGCACCATCAGCATGCTCTTTGTCTAGTCCTGTGCCTACTCCCAATTACCACTAAATTTCCTTGCTCTGCCAATATTGTTTTCCAGCTTCCCCATGTCGATCCTGCCTGCATTGATTTCCATAACACAGCTAATTGGTTGCTGCTGTGTGCTTCCTGTCTTTACCACATCACACACTCTGCTGATACTGACATAATTGGCCAACTGAGCCACATTTACAAAAGTTTCATAATGCGTGAAATCTTCAGCACATATTAAAGGGTTAAGAGAGCTGTCGTGAATTGAAGGTAATAGTTTGGCTAACATATTCCCCCGTGTGCATCTAACAGCTGACAGGAAGGCAGGCAGGCATGTGAGCTATGATGATTTAGCGGTTGCATTGTAATGTGCTTCAGCCTCCCCTGGCTTTGGTACACATTCAGACAGATCAAGTTGCATAATGAATATTTTACACATGCCTGCACTGCATGCATGTATGAAAGATCCTGCCGTGCACTGGGCGAAATAGTTTTTGCCTGCACCAGCACTCTGCTCTTTTATTCTCTTGGTAATACTCAACAGCTTGAAGTCAGTGTGAACACCTAATAATGCATTAGCCGCGACGGTGGCATCAGCTGCAAGCTGTACAAATAAACCAAATAAAAAGTCTTATTCTCTATCTATAATTTCAATTTAGAGGGTTCTACTGACATAGCAAGAAGTGTACTTATGCAACAGTGAGCACTCACTTTAACAGATTTGGTTCTGGTATTTTCGCTATTCATTTTCTCCATAGGCATTCAAATAGATTTTTAAATAAAAACCTTCAAGCCATCCATCTCAAAGATGATTCACAATTAAAGTACTTCAAACTCAGCAAAAGACAAATGTACAATACTGAGTATTTAACATATCTTATAGAATTGATCAAAAAGTACAGAAGAAAAGAACTGACTAAAATTAAATTATTATAAGTATAGAATACTATGTATTGGAAGTTTATTGCAAAATATATGCACTCAGAGTGACTTAAATACACATTTTGCAATGCTTTATGGGAATGGCTGCTCACTTCTGAACTCTTTTCCTCAGATTTTGGTTTCATTGACTTTTCTGATTGATGGATCTCTCTTTAGGATTGTGGGTATTGTAATTGATTTTTGTATTTTTACCGAAAGTTCTGCAATTCAACTTTTTGTTGTTGTTGAAATCACATTGACTTTTGACAGAAGAATGTGTTTTTACATAACAACAATGGATCTCATAGCAGTGCATTCTTGAAAGACTTTTTTTTTTGAAGAAGAAATTAATACTTTTATTCAGCAAGAATGCATTAAAATGGTCAAAAGTGACAAAAGCTTTTATATTGTTACAGAAGCTTTAAAAGATCTTGTTCTTTTGAACATTATATTCAGCAAAGAAAACAAATGTATCAAGGTTTCCACAAATATATATAATCTAAAATGTATTTCTTGAGCAGCAAATCAGCATATTAGACTGATTTCTGAAGACTGGAGTAATGATGCTGAAAATTCAACTTTGCATCACAGGAATAAATTACATTTTAAAACGTATTCAAATACAAAACAGCCATTTTAAATTGTAAAAAGATTTCACAATATTACTGTTTTTACTATGTTTTTGCAAATAAATGCAGCCCTGTGACTTCTTATAAAAACAAATAGAAAACAATAAAAAATTCTTATAAAAACAAATAAAAATCTAACCGACCCCAAACTTTTCAATTGTAGTGTACGTTATTTCTAAACCTGAGAAAATGAATATGATATTCACTTCAAAAGTAAAACATCTATTTCAAAGCATTTGCAGCTTAGCCATGTACAATGAAAACAGTGCAAATAAGTGGAGCAAATATTAGTACAAAAGTTAAAGGGGTCATATGATGTGATTTCAATTTTTCCTTTCTCTTTGGAGTGTTACAAGCTCTTGGTGCATAAAGAAGATCTGTAAAGTTACAAAGACTAAAGTCTCAAATCCAAAGAGATATTCTTTATAAAAGTTAAGAGTCAACCACGCCCTCCTAAAACGGCTCGTTCTAACACGCCCCCACATGTCTACGTCACGATGTGTGAAGATTTGCATAACGCCACCCAAATGTTCACGCAAAGAAAGAAGGCCTAACTTTTATTCTTGCTGTAGTATTGTTGCTGCCGCCAACGCCATGTCATGAAGGCGCTGTGTGCTTCATTGTGAAAGCGAAACTACTTTGTTTGGCCTTCCAAAAGAGGACAATATCCGCTTCGTCATGCCTAGAGCTGATCCATGCTGGTCGCTGAGGAAATACATCAACTTCAAGCTGTGGCTAGCCGGATCGGCTTTCACCGTGGACAAAGCGGAGTCGAGCCCGGAGTCGTCACATGTGGTTGCCGCAAGCTCGCCGGCCGTGCCGTTCTCAAACCCACCAGCCTTCCAAAAGAGGACACGACTGTAAATCAGTGGTTAATTGTATTTACAACACTGTTCCAGAACAGTTCAACCCAAATATTCAGATGTGTGCAGCACATTTTATGGAGGACTGTTTCCTAATCCTGGTAGAGTAGACAACAATGCCGGCTGTTCTGACTCACAGACTGTAAGTAAGTTTTTTTATATTTAAAGAATTTGCCACTGATGATTCAAATGCGAGTTTTGAGCAGTGTAGAGTAGCGCTTGTAGTTTGTAATTTCTTTGATCACAAATGCAAACATAGTCTTATGTTTACGCGGCGCGATGCAATGCAATGTGTAAAAAAACAGTATAAGTCATTATAATCCATAATTATGTCCCCACTGGATGCAACAAATGCCTCGTTTATAATGGGTTTTCATGTTTTTGTCTCGTCGCTCCGGCCGGGACAAGGCATCACAATATGGTGAGGGGCGTAGCATTTCCGTCACACGCTAGAGATATTCGACCAATCAACGCACTGGATAGCCGGCCAGTCAGAGCACACCTCACTTTTCAGACCGATGAGCTTTGTAAAAATCGACGCGTTTCAGAAAGGCGGGGCATAGAGGAGAAAAAATAATGTACAGTATGTGGAAAATAATGTGTTTTTTTTAACCTTAAACCGCATAAACACATTTCATTACACCAAATACACAAAATAATGTTCTTTTTAGCAACATCATATGACCCCTTTAAAGAAATATCAGTGCAGATCAAACCCTCCAACACTCCCTGTCTCTTTCTCGATCACATTCCGTGTTTCTGTACTCTCTCTTTCAGCCGTTTGCTCCTCCCACCCTCTCGTACTCGTTCACTCACGCTCTGCCTCTTTGTGTCTTGCGCTCTGAATGCGCTTGTAAGTTTAATCTCCACTAAGGAGGAGGAGGAGGAGGAGGAGGAGGAGAGCCAGTGCATTTGAGGTATCTCATTAGCTGTCAGATACAGTGCTCACAGGAGGAGACATGAGAAGACATCTTATCCATTGCGTCAGCTTGTTACTTTATGTTTGAAATCTGCTTTGTGTGTTGGTGCTCCCAAGTGATCTGAAGCAGTGAGCTGAGATTACAAAGAAACCAGTTAGTGTGTTTGGATATGCGGCGTCTTTGATTGGAGGATTTGAATACAAAGAAAAAGCGCTGAACCTGAGAAAGGAAATAAATTAAGACCTTTCTTATGTGAGATGGGAGCCGTGCAGGTGGTCTTGAGCAGAGAGCTGTGAACTTCATGTGTCGGTCGGGGAAGCACTGAAATGAGTCGCGGGCATCACTTTATAAGCTCTTTGCCTGTCTAGTTGAGTGAGTCAAGCTTCAGTTTGATCAACCCTCCTGATATTCTCAGACCAGGAGTCCCAGCGCATTGCACAGTCCAGCAGGACCGAGGAACTTTTAAATTTGCTTTCCAGAGGATCTGGATCTGGCTGACTTGGCTTTGTTTCTTGGAGACGCTTTGCACTCTTTCATTGAATTTTCTCTGTGATAACCGTGCATCCTCTGAGACAGGATGCAGGTGTCGTTTGTTTGCACAGACCACCGGTCCATGAGCCGTAGCACAGATGACAGGCTCAATCGACAAAACGCTAACAGTCCAAGCACTGGTACCCGAAGCAAGTTCAAAGCCGTGGCCATGGTGGCCAGGAGCCTCGGGCAGCTTTCTGTCCAGAGCGTCCCTTCTTCAAGTGACCAAAGCATGAGAACTGGCATGAAGTATAGGTAGGAAAACTCATAAAATGAATGAAGAGTTTATTTTGTGACTGTAAAGCTTGTAGGATTATATCCGATAATGTGAAATGTTTTACTTGTGTATGTTATTAGATTGTTTTTATGCTAAAATATTATTAGTAACCATTTAGGAAAAAAATAGTAGCATTCACATAATTTTGACTATTTTTTAAAGACTGTGCTGAATTATCCTATCTAGCTCAATAGCATAATAATCAGTATATGCTGGTGCATATATACATTTCTGCTATTTCAACAAACTGCTTTGATTGCATATAATGATTTCAGCCCCATCAGTTTGACTATTACTCTTCAAATCATTCTGCAAATTGCAGCTTTAACTGTTGAAGAATAATGAATACTCTTTTTCTCAATCATTTTAACCCAATTGAGCCACTGGCAAACTAGTTTCATATTCCTGCATTGCTGCTATCAGCTTTTCCATGAAAATCCCAAAGCTTTGTGTTAAAATGTACTGCTATTATGCACAACTGCTGACATATGTGTCTTAGAATCGTTCTCTTAGGTGTTCATAATACATAATAGTATTATATAATTAAATTATTTAATTTGATGCCTTTTTTTATTTCTATTAGGAGTTCATTTTTTTGTTTCATTTTCTATATATCAAACGTAACATTTTCTGCATTCGTTAACAACAAACCTGGAAGTATTTGTTAATTTACATAACAACAGCTAGAAACACTGCCAGATTGCTTTCAGCTGTCATGTTCATTTGCAGAAAAATCCTAATTACAGTTCTTAATTGGAGGCGTGTGATCTTTCCTTCCTGTTTGAAATCAGGATTGCAAAATGATTGTTGTCAGAGGCTCCAATTTATGTCAAGCTTAATATTCGCCTCTGTAAAGCAAGAGAGTTAGCTAGACCTTGTTAATTTAATTTATTCAATTATGCACTCATTATGAGTTACTTCATACAATGTCACTGTCTTGAAGCTTCATTTTCTTATTTTAAAGAAATCCTCATTATGCTGGAACACATTAAAAAAACAGGAAAAGAGGAAGGCACAGCTTTTTTGATTGAAATAAATGGTTACCATAAACTGTTTTCCAAGTGTCCATGTTTACATTTAACAGGAAAAAATAGCATACTGGTTTGGAATTATATTGGAATGTTCCAAAAGCAATTTGGCAAGAGTCAGTGCAAGAGAAATGCAGTGAAGAGACAGAAGTAATGACGTAAGAGTGAGTAAACATAACATAAATTGCATTTTTGGTGAACTAGGCCTTTTAAAATGAGAACTTCTTTTGTGGACCTTCTTTCCATTGTTCTAAATTCTCTGAGGCAAGCAGTATTTGAGACCAGCGCCTTCTGTTGTCTCGAGATTGAGGTCGTAGAGTGATCCCCCCCCCCCCCCCCCACAATTATTCTTTTAAGAATGGTTTACTACTTTAGGGAACCAAACAATGGTTCTTCTACGGCATTGCTACAAGAACTCTCTTTTGGAACCTTTATTTTTAAAGGTAAAGAAATGCAGGTGAAGGGTGTTCATGCCACATTTTCCCATTCCTGGAAAAATAAATGTGTGTTTCAGTATGATTAGCTTTTACTCTGTGCTCCCTAAGGGACAAAAGTCCTTCCAGTCCTGTTTTCCAGGATTCACTCTGGCAGACCGGCACCTTTGTCTCATCTAGTGTAATTTTCTTTAGTCAGTTCCAATCACAATCTCATTCTGCCCAGATGAATCGAAGCAGACAGGGCCATTGTAAAGAGAGAGGACTGGAAGGGGGGCTTTCAATTAACCAGCATCTTTCCCAGTCCAGATCGTGCGGTATTACTCTGGTCGCTCTATACAGTACAACAGACAAAGACATTGTACCGGTGGGTGTAGAATTGGGAACGATGCCATATCGTAGATTGAAGTCGCTTGACATCTCTGCCTTATCTTGTCCGCGCTCTCTGTGGAGATGCTTCAGTTTAGCTGTGTGGAAAGATTAAATGGCTCCGGTCAGGATTCAATTAATGATTTGAGTAAAACAGGCTTATGATTTTGTGGAGGAGATCCTATTAAGCTAGGTGATGCAAAATGGGCTGCAAACCTCGTTATTTATATCTGTCCTTTATTCTGCAAAACAAATCTGTTTAGATGAAAAATGCTAATGGAATACAAGTCAACATGAAATGTGTTTGCAACCCAATTTCATATATATATATATATAAAACGCAGCATTGGTGCAAAACCAAACATGTTTTATTGTTGGAATTACACGTACAGATGAGATGATTCATGCTTTTGAAGCTCTGTGACCATTAGCATTATTAAAATTGATTGTAGCTGACTGGCTGCAGGTTGATTTCAAAGATTTATGTGATTTAAAATGTTTGGTTAGCACAACATAATGGCTATCTGTTTCCAAGAACATAGATTTTAATATAAAATGTTTCCCTGGAAACAATCTGCGGTGTTTATAAAATGACTTGTATATCTGACATTCACCAAATACACTTAAATAGCATCTGCGAAACATAATTGGAAGTTCTGAACTCAAAGTGTTGAGAGATGTAAGAGTGTTAAGGCGTTAAAGAGTAGGCGTGTTGAGAGATTTTATTGCACTTCTGGATCTCACTATAACTGATACTACCTTCAGTTCAGACTCACTCCCACATGAAATAATGCCTGATGAATGTTTGTGAGAAACAAACAGCAGCCTTTGCTTCTACAAAGCCACACAATTGCACTATAAACGCTCAGTCTCGCATGTGCATTTCTATTTAAGGCTTGAGGAGAGAGTATGTGTAACCCTTCACTCTGATAAGGTTTTTTCCCAGCTTCTAAACTGAGGATGGATGGCTCTATGTTCTGCTCTCTGTGCGGTGCTGATAGCTTTTAATTAAGGCCTGCATGTTTGTGCTTTAAGAACGTGTAGATTCTCACTGGTGGCAGAATGTCTGTTTTCCTCACTCTCTAGAAATAGATTTATTAATTCCGGCTGGGCTCTACCATAAATAAACGCTTTTATTCGTCTCCATGATAATTTATGTTGTGTTGATGGTGTGGACTGCATCTGTTTGCATAGAAATGGTTTGAAACCTTTAGCTGTTTACTTTTTGTCAAGCAGTACTCCCATTCAGAGAGACAAATCTGAATCATTTGAATGCCAATGAGGAAATATCCATTCATTAAATTATAGTTTACTTTTTTAATGCACATTTCTAGTCTTAATTAGCTAAATTTATTAGTGCACAAATTTTTGTTTTAATAATCTTTCATCAAAACATTTAGAGTTGCTCTGCCTCTGAAAGGATTTTCATTTTATCTGACGTCGCCAAGGGGGCTTAAGTTTCAGCCAGATGGTTTCAGCAGTGTTGCAGATGGATACTAATCAATACTTCATAATACAGAAGTAAAATGGGCTGCAAAGAGTTTCACATTGGCTTTAGATTACCTGGGCATTTTGCAGGTGGTGAGCAACTGAGATTAACTGTAAGAAATTAGACAGTTTAAGTGAATGACAGTATTTTGTTTGTAAAACCTGCTATGTGATCATAACTATGTTAGTTCAAGTGTTTGGGATCAGGATAATTTTTCTGATGAGCAAAAAAAAATTGTTCTTTATTAAATTATTTAAATAACATTATCTAAAGAACACTTTACTTGGATGCCACAGCAAAAGCTAGTAGTATATAGGTATGTAACGTAGGGTTGCTCCGAGCCGCCTTTTTCGCCTCCGATACCGATTCCGATACCTAGGGCCGATACAGATACCAGTGAAGTTTTTTTTCCCCTATTTAAATAAATGAAGAATTTATATATCTCTGTGTGTGGAACTGATAATCATTCTTTCACAATCTACTAGATACAGACTACTTCATTATAAAGAAAAATAAAATAAACAATAAATATGAAAAAATATAGGCCTATGTATATTTATAATCTATGACAAAAATGTATCATAAACTAGGTTAGTGGATAATTCGGCAACAAAAGTTATTATAGAAAAATCAGTGCACAATAATTTTAGAAATCCAAACATTTAGTGAAAAAACTATATTGTGTGGGGAACAAATAAAAGTGTTGCACTAAATATGGTAAAATGTTACACATTGCTATTTATATTATAAAATCCATTCATTAAAAACATTCATATATATGTTTAAGTATATACTATAAAATTAAAATACATTTCTTTTGAATGTATAGCATATTTTTTAATAAGGCAAAAACATATGATAGATACGATAGGACAAAACAAATACAGTGCAGCACGAACTGATTTTATACAGTCTATGAGCACGAAGCGCTTACAATGTGTGCATCCGGTGTGCAGAATGATGTTGTCACAGCCTGACGCCGTGTTGCTTCAAGCGCATCATTCTGTACACCGGATGCGCACATTGTGAGCGCTTCGTGTTAAAAACTGCAAAGCACAAAGGGAAGGGAAATTGATGCGTAGTGTATTATATCTGTGCAACAGTTAGAGAGTTTTTCTTTTAACGGTTTTAAATTTCAGTTCCTGGGAACGTTAATAAAAATTTATAGTCTTTTCTACGCCCGTGTTTTGTTCTCACAGACACCCGGTAGCAAGTAACAAAACAACATTAAACTCCGGCAAGAAGATAAAGTCCTTTTTGCAAAATCATAGACATGTATTTACAAATCAAGTATAATGGGAACACAGAATGATCTTGGAGAGAGCTTTACCGAACTGACTGCTGTAACCAAACGCGACCAGGGCATAAAGGCTGAACGAATGACTGACAGCCACAGCGGAGAAAAGAGTTTGTGTGAGCTTTAATGTATGGACTTAAATATTCATATGTAGCTCACATTAAGCTATCGTATGGCTTCAGAAGTAACACAGAATAATTTGCACAATCGGGAAAAAAATTAATAAATAATAAATTCTCGGTTTTGGATCGGCCCTCTCTGACCGATACCCGATCCAAGAAAAATAGCACTATCAGAGCCGATTCCCGATATGAATATCGGATCGGCGCATCCCTAATGTAACGATTCACTCAACTCAATG